CCAGGCAATTTGGACAAATCCTTTCTCTTCCCTGTGCCTCAGTGTCCTTACTTGGGACAACCCCAAGCCTGCCTGCCCCCTAGCCCACCCCTCTGAACACTCGGAGCTCTTTCCAGGCCGGGCCTCCCCACCAGGTCTCCTGGCTGAAGCCCCCGCTACCCTCTGCCCTCTGTGCCCCGCAGGACCCCCTTCAGTGTGACCATCCCCAGCTCTGTCCCGTCTCTGGCTCCTTCTCCCGACTGTGAACCTCATCCTTTCACACTATTCCCCGGTCGTGTGTTCTATTGGTGCTCAACGTGTGGAACTCCACGTTTAATTCTGTCCACAGAGTTTTCTCCGTGCCCAGTGCGTGGCCAGTGGTGCCTCACAACCATGCCCGGACAGTGGCGCCGCCCAGGGTGTGGGGCCAAGAGAACACCTCAGCCCCCAGGACAGGGGGTGGGGGTGTCACCAGAGCAGGTGTTCCCTGTGATGTGCTCGGGCCTCGGGGATCCAAGAGGCCTCCCGGGAGGTGCTATGAGCTGAGACTGGAACACGAGGACACCACCCCGGCAAATGGAGGGGCCGTGAGCTCAGCCAGGTGGGATCAGGGAGCTGGAGGAGCTGGAGCAAGGTGAGGAACGGGGTGTGACCTGGGCGGACTCCAAGGGCACCGGGAAGAAAAGAGAGTCACGGGATTGCCTGTGGGTTTAGGGACAGGGCGCAGCCCAGGGTGCACCCCAGCCTCTGTGTGGACCCAAAACACAAGATGGGGGATGGCTATGGGAGCAGAGCCCAGATCTGTCCATGCTGAGGTTGGGGGCTCTGGGGAACATTCTCAGGGAGGGGTCCTGCGAGCTGTCACAGCTCCGGGAAGTTACTCTCGACCGCATCTTCTTAGATGTCCAAGGAGAGAACGGCTGGACCAAGTGATTTCCTCCATACTCTTTGTTCTGCAAATGTGCAGGTACAAATTTGGTTGGATCCAAAGGCCAGCTCAGCAGCCGGGACCCTCCCCGACCCCGCCAGTTACAAGACCACTAGCTTGGATTAAACTGCCTATAATGACCCGGTGAGGGGGTGTGGCTAGCCCATCACGCTGCCAGGCTCTCAGTTTTGAGAAAATTGTGATATGTTATACACACACACACAAAGACATACAAACGCACACACATATATACACGTATACATATGCATGTGTGTATAATACACAAGCACACATACTCGGACAGATGCACAAACACATACCTACATATACATACCTGTATGGGTGTACATGTACGTCTATACGTGCATGTACACGTACATATATGCTGTGCCTCTATACGCCTGTTTGTGTGCATGCACATATATAATTTTTAGTGACAGTCGCATAGAGGTCACTTTCATATCATTACCCACCACTCAGCCATCGTTTGCTCAGAAATACAGAACACAGGAATGAATCGGGAGAATCAGCAGGTGACATCTGTGAGGAGATGTTTTTGAGAGCTACTGGAAGCATTATTTGTCATTAGTGTAATTAGGCATCAGTGTTGACACGCTGTGTTCCGAATGGGTCCGGGATTGTCCCGTGTTCGGAATGGGATTTCTCTCCCGCAGTAACCGCTAATCATCGCGGATGTTTGTCCCCCAGAGAAGTGGGTGCATCTTCCAGGCTGCAGCCTGCACAGGTCTGGCATCGATTTTCACCAGATTTTGTTATTACATTTGTCTCACAGCTTTAAAATAGTAGCAAATATGTGCAATTTATTTAAACAACACTCGGGAAATTAACGCCACGAAAGCTCATCCTCGGCAAATGAAGATAAAGCAGGGTTTTTTAAAAACAGCTCTACGAAAACCCTTTACAGTCCTGAGTCTGGAAAGCAGAGGGCTCCGGGGACGTTCTGCCAGGGCATCCCCAGTGAGGCAGACCTGTGTTCTCTGCACCATCACACAGGGAGCCGTGGGGGGCGCCGCGGCTGGCCGGCACCCCTCCCAGAGGTTGTGCTTGTGGCTGGGGCTCCCCCATCATCTCGTGCAAGGTTCGTGTGGCCGAGTCTGGCAGGCTGCCCTCATGCAGACCTGCTCAAGAACAAGCACTACCCTGTCCCCTCCCTGAGGCAGGTACCTGGGGACAGGTGAGCCTAATGCCCTGTGCATCGAGGACATCCTGGCGAGGTTGTGCGTTTGTGAAGCACATCCATCACCTGGAGGGCTTCCCAGACACAGAGGGCAGGCCCCGCCCCAGAGGGAGTAAATCCCAGGGGGAAACTAACACTGCATTTCAGACGAGCTCCCTGGGAGCCAACACTGCTGGGCACTCAGAGATCTCTCTCTGGGTCTGAGATTTATCACAGGTGTCCTGGGTGCTGGCGGTTCCCCACTTCTTCCATGGGAGTACCGATTTCTGCCCAGCCCTCCACTTCCTGTGTGAGGACCAGTAAAGGGGATGCGACCTCACAGGCAAAGAGACCCCCAAAGTGAGGGGGAGCCCTCAGCCAGGTGCTCTGGCCTTGGGGGTCCGACTCCCAGCATTGAAATTCTGCCTCTGCCTACTGAGCTGTGTGACCTTCAGAGGTTACCTGGCCTCTCTGAGGCCCCCCTGTTGCCTCCCTGGTAAAGCGGGGATGATGACGCTCCCCACTGACCTGGTTATAGGAAGTGTCAGGAGGAGACTGCGAGGAAGGCTTGACACCTACAAGGCACCGGCTGCTCGTATAGGAATGGAGAGCAGCAGTCTGTGCCCAGACTGCAGGGGAGAATGTGTGGCCAGGACTGTCCTCAACACAGTTGCGAAACTCATCAAGGAACCTAGAGACAACCCCACCCTGTATCGTTACGAGGACTGAGGATTAGTCACAAGCAGCATCTATGAGTCTGATATAATGTCATATTTCCACAGAAATCAAGGCCGCCAGGGATGTACAAACCTTGCGTGGTTTCTTTCTGATGAAGGGTGGGGAGTGACCTATGAAAGCCTTTTGGTTTTTAATTGCTGAAAACTCTTGAATGCAGGAGCTCCACACACTGAGACAGCTGGGACCCTGATGGAGAAAATCTCAGAGGCGGTCCTTCATGGGAGTGTGGCTTGTCCAGATGGATTTTTCCATTTATGTAGCTTTAAGTTTAGGCATTCGGGGCAGATAAGATTTTTTTTTTTTTTGCATCAATTAGGCAGTTTTGTCTATATGTGTTTAACTTATTTCCATGCATCTTTTTTGTGAAAGGGAGTGGGGAAGGTCTCTGTCCACAGAGGGCAGTGCTAAGACCACTGGGGGTCCTTGCCAGGCCTGGAGCTCAGCTGGAGGGTGGGGACGCCGCCAGGACTGGAGAGGGGCAGCCTGTGGTCAGACGCCTCCAGCCAGCTTTGTTCTCTCTGCCTTGGGCTGTCCTGCTCCCAGGTCCGTCCTGCTATGTGGACTCTCATATGCTACCGGCACCGAGACCCGGAGTAAAATGAACATCAGCCATGAAAATGGTGTTAAGACATGTCAGATGGGGCACCTTGAACATAAAGATGGAGGTGACACATGCATAGATGTTACGTGTTTACATGAGTTCTGTTGGCTCTTTTAATTATAGAAAGTCACGTACATTATATCATTCAGGAATACAGAGAGGTAAAAGGAATAAAGTAAAATATAATAGCATAAAACTCACTGGTGACCAGAGAAAACTAGAGTTTACATTTCCATGTATTTCCTTCCAATCTTTTCTCTGTCCTTTACAAACAAATGGAGACTCACGCTACATACATACTTTGGTGCCATCTCTCCACTTACTATTATTTTGTGGACATTTCTTCACGGCACAGTGTCCAAAGAGTAACTTTGAATGACTACATAATATCCCAAGATATGAACACGTCATAATGCATTTAACTATTATTTACTACTATCAAACATCCAGAGGTTTTTTTCTGGTATTTTTACCATTTTATACATATTTAATATTATTATAAAAACATCTGCAATGAACATCTTTATACAGAGATTTTTTTCCACATATAGTTCATTGGGACAGATTTCCACCTGCAGAGTTATTGGGTCAAAAGCGAGGACCATTTTTGAGGCTCTTGATAGTCGCTGGCAAACTGCTGGCAGAAGGGCTGTCGTAGGCGCCCCACCCACGGCAGCGCAGCCAACGTGCAGTCCCACCGGCCTGCCACTAGGCATGGGCTCCGCGTCTTCTCAGTTTAATACCCACAGCGGACCTCGGAATGTGGTGCTCTTGTGAGCATCCCCACTTTATAAAGGAAGTAGCTGGAGTTGAGAGAGATTACAGGACTTGCCCCATGTTACACGAATCTTTGGATGCATGTAAATACAAGACGCCAGGTCTAACACCACGTCCCACACCCTCATCCATCTCCCTCTACTGACTAACTCACAACACACTCCTCCGGGCTGAGGATTCATTTTGTTTGATCTTGTCAGTTTGATAGGTGAAGAGGATAAATTACTTTAATTTGCATTATTTGATTATTGCAAGACATGAACATTTTTCATAAGTTTATTGATCCTTTTATTTATTTTGCTGTTAATTATCTATTCATGTCTTTTTCCTGTTATAAAAAAGATTCGTTTTTTTCTTATTGAGTTGTAAGAACTCTTTACGTAGTGAAACTGTTAACCCGTTGTCAGGTATGTTGTAAATCAAGTGTTCCAAGTTCATCAATTGCTTTTAGGATATGTTTTCATAAACAAGAGTTTTAAATTAAAATGTATTAGTACTTTCCTTTGTCATTTTTTTCCATTGTTTTGGGCTTAAAAGTCCCTGATCCACCCTCCTGGTTAAATAGTTAACTATATTTTCTTCTTTTTTATAGTTTCTTTACCCCCATTTAATTCTGTAATCCATTTCTTTGTATGGATGAGGGTCTTGCTTGATTTTTTTTTTCCCTAACACTTAGCCACTTTTCCCAACATCATCCAGTCTTTCTTGATCTAGGATAGTACAGATTCTCTAACAGAGACCTTCTTCTTGGTGCAAAACTTAACCAGACTTCTGTGGCTCTTCTCTCCCCACTCTGGATAATGCCGCAGAAAGGAACGAAGAGCACCCTTCTGGACCCCTCTCAGCCGCTGGATGACACGCTGTTGCCATGGCCCCAGCACCAGAACTCCAACGGGTTGAGGCGACAGAAACGGGACTGGGTCATCCCACCCATCAACGTGCCAGAAAATTCCCGCGGGCCCTTCCCACAGCAGCTTGTGAGGGTAAGTGGAGACGCCTCCTGCTGGGTGGGGACGGTCTCGCTCGGGCCCCAGCCTCTCCTCTGGGATCCTGTAAATCAGTCTGATGGGCTTGTTGCTGGAACAGGGACGGCTCTGCATTTGGTGTCTGAGAAGGTCAAGATCTCACCTTCTCAGGAATGGGATAAGTGTTACACAGAACAAAGAAAGATCAGAGCACGATCCGATGGAGTTGGGTCTTCTCTCTCTCTTGGTTCCTGTCAAGTGACTGCTTTGGTGCCTGGAAGGAGTTGGGGGCGGGGACTTTGGTCATGGCTTTTGACCTCTGACCCCTTTCTTTGGTCTGATTGTTCACATTTCTTTCTAGTTGTGCCAGAGTCGAGTTCTGGGTCCCTTCGCTGATTCCTTTAGTGTCTCCGTGCTCCCAACACCCATCGCAAGGTTGTTTTTCCTGGAGGAAGAATTCATTTTACAAATTTGTATTTCAATAATCATGGCCATCAACTAGCATTTTCTTCTTCCCTTTGAAGAAAATTGCAACCCAATCTGAGCAATAATTTGATAAAATGATGGTGAGAATCCCATTAAATAATTCCTATCCGTTGTGGAAACCTCACCCACTCTGTGGACTGGGGGTCCTTGGAGTATCATTAGGGGTCGTTTCCATTCCTTGAGCTGATTTGCCTCTGTTTTGTTTCCGTTCCTGCAGAAAGATGGGGTATGTGTCTAGAATGCAGAGGTGGAGCACAGGAAGACCTCACAGGCCCCCAGTCTTTGTGTCTCTAGCATCAGACACCCCACCACACACCCCCCACCCAAGGGGACGTGGTCGTTAAATATCACCCTGCCTTCATTCCTGTAGCGTGTGATATTGTGATTTATAATAAGAAACATATATTTTGTCCTGTTTCTTGCACAGAGCTCCTAAAACCCTTGGAATTTCTAAGTGATAAAAGTGATGAAGGTGTCTTTTATTATTCATAACAAGCCCCTTGCAACCACATCTGAGTTTATGTCAAAGAGGTGACTTTGGAATGCTCCTGAGGATGGGGGCTGGTTGCCAGGGAACCAACCATGTGATTAGAAGGATGGAACTTTTAGTTCCCCCCTCCCCTGGGTCCCCCCCCAACCTCCAGGGAGGAGAAAGGGGCTGGGGATGGAATCAATCACCAATGGCCAATGAGTTAATCAATCATGCCTGTGTATTGAAGCCTCCAGAAAAAAACAAAAAAATGGGATTTAGAGAGCTTCTGCTTTGGTGAATATGTGGCGATGAGGGAGAGGCGTTCTAGGAGAGGGCATGGAAGCTCTACGCCCCTTCCTACATACCTCTCCCTACGCATCTCTTCATCTGGCTGTTGATTCCTATCCTTTTATATCCTTTGCAATAAACCAGTGACCTAGGAAGTAAAATGTTTCTCTGAGTTCTGTGGGCCGCACTAGCAAAGCAATCAGACATGAGGAGGGGGTCATTGGAACCTCCAATCTGTAGCCAGTTGATCAGAAGCACAGGTGACAACCTGGATGTGCAATTGACATCTGAAGGGGGAGCAGGGGGCAGTCTTGTGGGACAGAGCCTTTCCCCTGTGGGCTCGACACTGTCTCCAGGAAGATGCTTGCAGAACTGAGTTAAACTCTAGGACACTAGCTGGTGTGGCAGAGAATCACTTGGTGTGGGGAAGAGCCCGCCCCTCTGGTGTGAAAAGTACAGTGCGTGTGTGGTGGTTGTGTGAATCGAGGACGAACGCAGGAGAGTCTTCCAACTTACCGCATGCAGCCGGCCCTCCTGCCTCAGTCCCCAGGCGAGCAGTTCGGCCATCACCTGCCCGTGAGTGGCCTGCCAGAGTGGAGATTCCACCGCGAAACGGAGGTGAGGACTTGAGCGAAGCCCTCGAGGACTGAAGCCCCAGCCTGGGTGTGGTTTCCAGGGACTCACGTCTTCCGGGCCAGTCTGCCAGCCCCCCGTCCACACTGACACGGGTGAGGATGCTCACGACTGAGTCCTGTGGCCCACACCTTCGTTCACGCCCTCACCACCCTCACAGCACTTGCCGCATCCGGCTATCGCTTGTCATTTACTTAGAATTTTTCTCTAGTGATTCATTTTTAATATAAATAAATATATTCTAAAAGGAGACTTTATAATTAGATCACAACAGAAAAGCTGCTATTGTTTGTTACGATGGAATTTGACTGAAAACAAGCAGAAGGCACAGAAAACAGAGTTATTAGTGTCTGGCTCTGTAGTCATCTGTCCACACTCAGAGCCTGAAGGCCGCCCTCAGTTTGTTAAGAAGGGAAAGGCGACATGCACATCTTGAAGTGTTTAAGTTACTCTAGGACCAGAGGCTTCCTCTCAAATGTCATGAGGATTGAAAGCAGTTGGAAAGGGAGTGAGTTTTTCATTGTGTGATTCAGCTTTATTTAAAGCCTGCGCTGGTACCACCCAAAAATCACCTCTAGTAGACAACTGTTGATCTAACGCAGGGGTGGGCAAACTTTTTCTGTAAAGGGCCAGATAGTAAATATTTTAGGCTTTGTGGGCCAACCAGCCTCTGTTGCAACTCTGCCTTGCTAGTGTGAAGGCTGCCATAATAAGTATGTAAATTAACAGGTGTGGTTGTGTTCCAATAAAACTTTATTGACAAAAGCAGGCAGTGGGCCAGATTTGGCTCGTGGGCCATAGCTTGACAACTGCGGATCCAACTCATTTCCCATTCCAGGGAGACCTGCCCACGTAATCCTCGCAGGCATTTGGCAGGAAGGTTACGGTGAGTGAATTTGTGATGAATACCAAGGGCTCTCGTCTGCTCACACAGCAGAGGGTACTCACGTGACATTGGGCAGACATCTTAGCACTGCTGGAATATTCTATTGTCCTGGCTTTCAGAGTGTCTCAGGTTAATGATCCTAGCATGGACACGTAGAACTTTTCTCCTCTGTGCCCAACCGTACACAAGTCTGTAAAATGTATCAAAAGGAGAGAAGGCCATGGTGGGCAGAGCCCTTGTCCCTCAAGGATTCCCAGGATTTCTGGGTTCATTGGTCCTGCTGCTTCCATCTTCTGCTGCACATGGAGAAAAAGACACTTCTGTACTTTCTGCCCGACTGACGTCCAGTGGTCTCAGGGGTTGAGAAGTCCGGGCTGGCGACGGGACTAACAGAAGAGCCAACTATTCCCAGACCAGCAGAGGGCTCGGGTCTCCCGATGGGCTCAGTGGGATGGTGATGGGGGACATTTCTTCTCATGCCGGCACAGTGACATCTGCATGCTCTGATGGGGAACGTGCTGCATTTTCCAATTTGAAGAGGTACAAAGAAGGGAAATTTGCCCCCTCCCTGGTTAACACGAACCTTGCAAAATCTGGCCCGAGAGAGCAGCAGACGGCAGGAGCTCTCAAGGCTCTGCAGATGCAGGTTCCTGAAGACTCTCTCTGCCACTGGCATTTCTAAACTGGAACTGCGGGGAGAGGAAACACGGCCGTGGCGTCAGGTGTCAGATAGAAAAACTGCGATCTCGGTGGTGCTGGGAAACCATCGCCAGCCGCTCCGGCTCATTGAGGGGCAGCACCTTCTGGTGTCTAGTCTGCAGCGCTGCTGTGGTTTGGAGTGAGTTTGCCATCTGCTCCACGGACACCCTGACGTGTCCAGCAGCCCCTGTAGGGAAGGCGACCTCCAAGCCAGGAGCGTCTCCTCCAAAACAGGCTCTGAGCAGCAGGATCGGGTGTGGGTTAGAGCTGGCTGACTGCTATAATGAGCATTCCCAAAGTCTCAGGAGCCTAGCACAATGGAGGTTCACTTCTTGCTCCTGGGAAGGTCGTTTGGGGAGGGGGCTCTGTGCTGCCGTCACTCCAGGCCCCAGGGTAAGGCCCGCAGGGTCGGCGAGGCTGGGACACGGCATGCATCCATTGTGCCTGAATTTCACTGACCAAAACCCAGTCACATGGCCATGCCTAATTGACACTGGGAGGTGTGGCCCAGCTCGGTACCCAGGAGGAAAGGGGAATGTGTGTGGTGAACGGCTGGTCTCTGCCACAACACGGTCTCGAGATGAGAACAGTGTGTGTCCTGTCCTCACTAATGGCTGTACTGTGCCAAGGAGCCCAGGTCCAGTGGTGGCCCTCGGTGAGCAGTCAGACCTCACTTACCAACCCTTCTGTAGACCGGGCTTTCTCCACCCCGCTGCTCTGCTGTGTCTTCTCCATAGCACTTAGTGCTCTCTGACTTCACGTTTGTTATTGATTCATGGAAGACTAGGCCTCCTGAGGCAGAGGCCCTGCCCGAGTCTCTAGTGCTGTAAACAGCTCCTGGCACACAGTATGCTCTATGTTTGTTGAATAAATGAATGAGCGAGTGAGTGAGCGAACGAAGCAACCCCCGTGGTGGATATTGTGCTGGGTGCCCATTGGCTCACACACCGGAGTGGCCGTGGCACGTGGAATTTGACAGGGCCCTTAGCACGGTTTATCCTGGCATTCAGAGTTTCTCCGACTAATGAAAGAGGCCATTCCCATGGCCCTTCCCTCTCTGTGTCCACCAGAGACAGGCATCCAAGCTGAGCTGGATCCTTGTGGGGAGATACATCTTCAGCAAATGGAATTTCCACTACGGTTTCTGTAAAAGATTTGTCTTTTCCAAATAGACCCCAAGTCACTGTGTAAGAACTCAGCCCAGAAACTCATGCACACAAACACACACACACGTGTGTGCCCACACACACCATCCCACTTCACACACACACACGTACACCCACATTCTCGTATGCTCACCTTCTCGCCCCTTTCCTTTTCCCCCATTATCTAACATAGACAACTGTTGGGGGTGCTTTTCTGCCCCTGTTTCTGTCTATAGGAAGTTGATGAGTTTCCTGTCAGTGTTTCGGGGGAGCTTGCTCCTGAAAGAAGCCCAAATCACGGCGAGCGTGAATACAGCTTGATGGGGAGCGGGAAGCTGAGTGTGGAGCACTTCGAGGTTCAGCTGGGATCAGCTGCAATTCTGTGCTCATTAAGGCATTTCATTCTGATAAAATATGTTAAATGAAAAAATGAGAGGGAGAGGAGCAGGCAGAATGTTCTTCCCAAAAAACCTCGCTTAATTATAGGCTTTTTCCTCGGAAAGAATATTGTGTCTCTTCATAAGCGCTAGCTGTGCCGTGCAGGGGGAATAGATAACCTACTCGTGCAGAGAAAAGTCCTGAAAAGGGAGAGAGTGGCTATAATTGGCTGGGCTGCTGGGAGCCATGAGTGTCCATGGTGAAGCACAGAAGCCCTCGTGGGCCGTGCCCACCGGCGTTAGACCATGCTCTAAATTAAGTGGTGAGTAAGGAGACGCAGCCACATCGTGGAGATGCCACTCAGAAGTCCCCAGCTGTCCCTTCTTCTTAGAATGAAGGAGGAAACAATGCACTGTCATTAAGCTAATTCCCTAGGAATTTGGAAAGAGGCTCTTCATTATGGAGGGACCACGGAAACAGCAGGAGGGCCACCCAGCAAAGGTTCGCAGGCAACCTTCCCTGCTCCCGAATTCCAGTCCTGGGCTCTGGACAGGACAGTTTGGGGCCATCTGTGGGTAGCAAGCACCATGCAGGCACAGGAGGTTCAGAGGGGAGAGGGCATGGAGTCCCCTCGTGGCCTCAAGAACCTCCTGGCAATCAGCTTTCTGCGTGTCCTTCAGAATTTGCCGTCGCAGTTAGGATTCCTTCTCGTGTACGTTAGGGAGCGTGTTGAAGAGTTCCTTTCTTTTCTAGCATATATGTTTGGTTTTACTTCTGGAAAGATTCAGAATGAGGATAAAATCAGACTTTTAAAGAGATGATGCATTTCTTAGCTGAGTCTAATAAAAATTCAGAATTTGTTAACTTGAGAGGTTGTCCAGGACAACTGTAGGAATTGGCTCAAGATGGTGAGGAAGAAGGTAGTGCTATGGAAGACAAGTACGTTAATTTTGGAAGTTGATGTTTTAACAGAAGTGCTTTAACAAGAAGTCATGCAAACCTGTCCTCAGGGCCCCTGCGGGAGAGCAAGGCCTGGACGAGCAGCTCTGAATGTAAGACTCTGGAAGGAAGTCATTACATAATCGCTCAGCGTCAAAGGTGACCACGTGGAGAAGACAAACCAACCATTCTAGAGTAGGAAGCTCATGAGAGCACAGCTACAGGTGCCTGGAAGGATTGTTCAAGTCGGCTCCTCACACTTGACACCCCAAATGAGCTCAAACTGATTGACATCAAAGCTTTTCTTCACATTTCCTTAATAAATTTGGTTCCCCTTTTGTGCGCATATGCCACATTGCTTCATCTCCAACCACAAATATTTGTTGACCTTCCGCGTGAACAGAGATGGGCTAGGTCTTTGGAACATGGGCTTAGGAGCTAGTTGAGTGATGAGACATGCACTGGGCCGGGGTCTGCATTGTGAGATGTGTGACAAGGACGTAGTGAGTCACCCCCTATCTGGCCCAGGGTAGATTCTCCATAAATGTTCATCAGATGTATGAATTCATGTGGAGAAGCTGGCTGGATTTTAACTCAAAGTTATCCTACAAAATGTTTACTGGGTAACCTTGCAGTATAATTATCACTGAGTCCACCTAGGAACCTATTTTCTCATACTCTGAGGGCGTTCATTCATGTATGAAAGACTGAGCAGTCATTATTCACTGCCTCATGGAAGTAAGGTGACCTTTTAGAGCATGATGTGTGTGCGTTTTTCCCTTTGTTTCCCCATTAGACCCCGGGAGAAGGTCTAACTGCTTAGCATGTCACACAGGATCTCATGATCTGACTCTGCCCCTTGGCACACCAAATTCCAGCCATGCTGGGCTCCTTGCAGCCTCCACACTTGATCATACCTTGATTACCTGGAGTCCTGTGCACAAGCTCTTCCCTCAGCCTGGAGTGTTTTCCCACTGCACTTGACACCCTCCAACCTGGCTACTTCCCGCCTCCTCTGAGAATGCCCCACCTCTCAGGGCCACAGAGGCCCTCCTATGGGGTGCATGGCACCCCTGTTGCCTGCCATTGTGGCAGAGTTTTTACCACTGTTTCGTCAGTGATTATTGGTCTGTCTCCTCCACTAAAGGTAAAAGTCCTTGAGAGATAGTCCACCTGTCAAACACAACATTGGGGACAAGCTAGATGTCATTAAGTACTTATTAAATGAATGAATGATACAACCCTCATGCCGTCTTTACTAGTCACCCGTTCATGATCATTATGAAGATCGTTAGGCTAAATATCCTTGAGAATAATGAAATTGGAAGTTCTGCTTCTGGTAACAGTGGAGTAGTTTATATCAGATTAACACTTCTAAAATAACAATTATAAACTCTGGGGAAAAAAATTTATTTGAAGCTACTTCAGAGTGACCAGCAATAGACAGAAACAGAAACTCCACCCTTGAAAGAAGGAAAGAGCTCTGGCTGAGATCTGGGTTTACGTGGCTTTCCCTCTGAGAGCTCTCCTCATCTTGCATCAAAGGGTGGTGAGATCACACGCAGAAAACCACAGTCTTACTGGTCAGAAGAGTTGGAAGATGGAGTTTAGAACTGACAAAGCAGTGGATTGTGAGGGATAAATCCTATAAAACATGTAGCCACAGATAGAGATTCTCAAATCTGCTTATAAACTGTGCCCAGCTCCTTGGCTGTCCCTTTAACTGTGCATGTATGAGGGAGACTCCAAAAAACTCAGTGAAAAGCAACAGCTAGAAGGTTGAAAGAACTGAGCAGAGATTTCAGCTGCTGCCTACTCAAGAGTAACAGATTTAGATTTGAGTCCAGCCAAGTTAACTCCCTGCTGTAACAAAAATCAATACCTTTTAGAGAAAGATAACAGAATGAGTCTCTATAATATATCATCCACAATGATCAATAAACAACCAAAAATTACTAGACACACCAAAAAAAAATGTGACCCATAATTAACAGGAAAAAACTGCCCATAGAATCTAATCCTGAGACTATCCAGATATTGGAATTAGCAGCAAGGCCTTTGAAATAGCTCTTATAAATATGTTCAAGGACTTAAAGGAAAATATGGTCAGAATGAATGAATACACATAGAATCACAGCAGAAAATGAACTCTAAAAATATAACTAAATGAAAATGGTAAACCTGAAAAGTCCAATACCTCTAATGAAAAAAATCACTGGACGGGCTTACAGATGGATTGTAGAAGGCAGAAGAAAGGGTCTGTGCATTTGAAGATAGATCAATAAAAATTATCCAAACTGAAGGATGGCAGAGGAGAGGATGGAATCACAGAATCTCAGTGGGACAAGGTCAAGTGGCCTAATGTGTGTAATGGGAGTCCCAGGAGAGGAGAGAGATAATAACAGAGAAAAAAATCTTTAAAGAAATAATGGGGGGCCTGCCTGGTGGCACAGCGGATAAGTGCACGTGCTCCACTTCGGGGGCCTGGGGTTCACAGGTTCGGATCCCAGGCACACACAGATGCACCACTCGTCACGCCATGCTGTGGCGGCATCCCATATAAAGTGAAGGAAGATGGGCACCGATGTTAGCCCACGGCTGGTCTTCCTCAGAAAAAAGAAGAGGATTGGCATTGGATGTTAGCTCAGGGCTGATCTTCCTCACAAAAAAAAAAAAAGAAAAAGAAATAATGGTTGTAATTTCCTCAAATTGGGTAGAGAAACAAACTTATAGATCCAAGAACTTCAGTGAATCCCAAGTAGAACAAATATAAAGAAAGCTTTACCTTGATCATAATCAAACTGCTGAAATTCAAAAAGTAGAGAGAAAATCTTGATAGCAGAGGAAAAGGTGCAGTACACACAGCATACAACAAGGAGAATGAGGGCTGGCTTCCCTTTAGAAACAATGGAGGCCACTGGGCAATGGAATGACATTTTCAATTTACTGAATGCGAAAAAACTATCAACCAAGAATTCTATATCCAGAAAAAAAATCCTTCAAAATTGAAGGTGAAATAAAGACATTTCTGATAAGCAAACTGAGGGAATTCAGTGGCAGCAGACGCACAAGACATGGTAAAGGATGATCTTTAGGCTGAAAAGAAATGACACCATTTCTTTGGATATTCAGATCTACAGGAAGGATGGAGAGCACAGGAAAAGATAAATTTGTGTGTTAATATAAAAGATTGAATTTTTTCTCTTAACTTTTTTATAAAACAGCTGACTATTTAAAGCAAAAGTGTAACACTGCACTGTGGGGTTTATAATTTATGTAAATGTAGTAAATATGACAATAATAGGACCCACTGGGGAAGGAGACTGGGTGTAGCTCAACCCCTGGACTAAGCCCTGCCTATCGGATGGGGTTGTCTGATGGACACTGCACAGTGTAACTGGGACTCACTGCTCTGGCTGTGCACCTCCTCCAGTTGACAGGACCCTCCTCCAGGTGCCTGGGCCTTCCTCCAGGTGCGTGGGCCCTCCTCCAGGTGCATGGGCCCTCCCTCCAGTTGACAAGACCCTCCTCCAGGAGCCTGGGCCCTCCTCCAGGTGCATGGGCCCTCCTCCAGGTGCATGGGCCCTCCTCCAGGTGCATGGGCCCTCCTCCAGGTACATGGGCCCTGCTCCAGGTGCACATACCTCTCCCCCAGGGGCATGGGGCTCTCCCCCAGGTGCACGGGGCCCTCCCCTGTGTGGATGTTCCCCTCCTAAATTGTAGCATACCTCCCTATCAAGGAGTCACCTGGGAGCAGGCTTTGGGCAGACTTGGCTGCTTTCTAGGAGGCAGAGGCTACAGATGCTCCAATTGCTAACCTCTCTAGTAAATCTTTAGGGTCTAGCTCCTCAAAGCCAGAAAAGCTTGTGGGTGAGTGAGAAATGAAGACGCCGATTTCTTTCCCTAAAGGAATCTCAGACTGAATGCCTCTGGGAAGAAATTCAGAACAGGGGTGCTCCGGGAGTGTACCTGTGTTTGGGTTTCTCCCCCATAAATAGATGTGAAGAGATGGTGGAAATGTCACCTCTGCCTTCGCTGT